AGTACTGGATGAGGATAGGGAAAGTTTGTATGCACTACCTCCAGATGCCAACCAAATCGGCCAACGCCGATTCACCCGTACTATGGAGGCTCGGGTCATTCAGAAGTATGGTTGGGGAAAGAATACGTAAGTAATTTTCTCGAGTTTTTTTGTTTCTCCACTGCATCTCACCTCTGTAACATCAACAATCACGAGAACTGTCATGCAGACAGTGTAGCCTGTCAACCTATCGCTTGCACGTACCCTGAACCAATAGTTGTGAACGCAGTCTTTGTCTATTTCGCTAGATTAATATGCGTTAGATATATAAATTTACCTACCACGGTTTTTTGTGTGAACACGGCGATTGCATTTTACATTCACCTGCAGGACTGCTATCCGTTCTAAAAATAATTGGAGCATCCGATTGAAAATACCAACCCTATCGTCAATCATCTCTCACTTTCAGCATCAAGTGAATACGACGCATAAGTCCAGCCAAACTATTCCTTGACAGCCTTGACATTTCCAATTGCTGCTTGAGTTTTGATTGACATCGGGTTAACGATCTTGTGGTTCCCTACTTAAGTGTATGCCTTTCAGCGAGCAAGGAAAAATAAAACTTGATTGCCTAGGAGCTGAGATTGAGTTCCTATTGACTTTGTCTTTACACCGGAAACGAAGATACGAGTGGGCAGATTCTCCGCGAGTCTGACTTAACTCTTGTTTCATTCGCGGTAGCTCGCTGCGTTGCTTTTAGCTTTGCTGTAGCCTTCGTAAAGCTTGCCTCAGCGTTTGTCTCGGCTTGCTTCAGCGTTTGCTGCGGCTTGTTGGAGCACGCGCTGCCTATCGTCGAAATCGACGGGGGAACTGTCAGTATGCCTTTTAGTTAGGACTCCCTTGATTCTTCCAAGCAGATCCCTCGCAATCTGTCAGCCTATGCAAAAGAAAGTAGGCATCTCCTTGAAAATTTTGCCGCCTTCCGAGGGGAATTTCTCAAGTGCAAGGCATCCTAGTATTCTGTTGACCAATCCTGCCTGTTGTATAAATGCGATCAATGCATGGCAATGACACAGGCAACGCAGTAATCATGTACTTTTTTTCCAATTCAAACCGCCCAGTCAGTAGTTTTTTTCTTTGAGAGCTTTTCTACTATCAAGTGTGAACTTTAAAAAAATGGCATTCGTTAACCTGCTCACGTCCTGTAAAAGTACTCGGTTTTAAGATATACAAGACCCCTTGATAACTTTGTTGTTTTTTTTATTTTGTGGAAAGACAAGTTGAGAAAAAGTCTCCCATGCTCTTTTTTTCCTCTTGCCTTTGCGATTGTTTGACTCGGTAGTTGAGGTGTGCACTTACGGTAGACAGTGCAATTCGTGAAATTATGTGGATTTCGCAGGGGAATCCCCGTAGCGTAAACCTGGCCTGCCCCGCGTCCCCTACAGTTTTGAAGCCTTAAAGAAACAACCTTTCTCATAGAAAGTTGACTTTAGTTTGTACAGATGTCTCTGCTGTACCGCTGCATTTCTTTACTACTGTGTACAAATAGGGAATTCAAGGGCATTTGTCTATATTTCCCTTAATAAACTTGACTTTATCTTAATTTACGTACTTAGAAGTACTTTTTACTGGAAAACATAATTTCAGAAAATGGGCATATAACAGGTCGCTTATTAAGGGCACATAACGAACGGACAGGTAGTAAAAGGAGAAAATAGTTCAAAATAATGAGTACAAACGTCAATATGTTTTACCTATTTCCGTAATAAGTCTGATAGATATAAAACAGCCAATTTTCTCTATTGGCTTATTGAGCAAAAATCTCTTTTTTCGCATAGAGAGGCTCTAACGTGCCTCTCCTATATTTATTTTATTAAGTGCGTAAAGAGTTTTGATACAATTAGGATGCAGACTGTCGACAAGCATATGAATAGTTTGGAGATGGCAAGCGGAGAGGTTGTTGCTCAAAAGGCTAGCTGATATTTGCATGCTATGACCGAAAGCATTATCATGTAAATTTATGGTGTCAATTCCACGTCGTCGAAGGCCGTTATAGTTAAAGGTATCAACTGGAATGTCGATGAACGTCTTGCTGTTGATTGTGTCCGTTGTCGACCGAATTTGACGGTCATTCAAACCGTGGACATTTCTTGAAAGTCATAGAGGCGAAAGAACAAGTTACAGGAGTTCTTAAACGTTTCAATAAACGTAGTGTGTTTACTTGGAAAGTTATGCGACGTCTTATTTGGCTACAGAGTGGTGGAATTTATAAATGGCTTGCTAACTACTCGCATGCCATATTACTGCGTTGTATGGCAGAGGGTATCTCAACGGAGTTGTTGATACTGCTGGCAGTGATAGGTGCGCAATCCTGGAGAATCGCAGTTGTTATTGGAAGGCGTTGTTATTATTAATTCGCCACTGTCAGCTGAGTTGTTTACTTTATTTACCATTATCGCATACCTTCT